CATAAGATACAGATTTGTAACTCTGGATCAGAGAGATAGTACAGGAGGAAAGATACTTACTTGCCTTTTAAGCAACTGTGGTGACCATGACCTAGATTAAAATCCCCAGTCCTTCATATGGTCCTCTAAACACCACCAGGGGTCACCCTTGAGCACAGAGTCAAGAACAACTTCAGAGCTCTGCTGAGTGGCCCCAAACCAAAAAGCAAGAGAGAAAGAGAAAAGAAAAGGGTGGGGGGGAGGGGGGGAGAAGAAGAAGAAACAAAAAATTAAAAATCAAATGCAAAGATTATTATATAGCATGAGGTTGTGAAACATAATTATAATAATTTCACTACGACATATGAATGAGATCTTGAATTATTTCATGTTTAACTGTTTTGTTTCAGCAGAGAATGAGATGCTAATGATTATTTAAAATCTGCATTTTAAATAATAATCATTGTCAAGGGTCACTAAGCTTTGACTTTCTACCTTCAGATCACTGAAGTATATATTTACACCAAGAGATGGTGAAAGTCCTCTCTTCAGGTTTTCCATATTTTTGAGTTAAATCAATCTGGCATACATCTTCACTTTATCACTTACACGAGTCACTTAAAAAGAAATAGATACTCTGATTTAGAACAAGTCCTATGCAGAAAGAATCTCTCCTTTTCATGGTTTAATTTTTCCTTTCCTCTTTCAGTGAGGAATCTTGGTTTTTTCACTCTATGTATTCTGCATGCATTATTAGTCCAACATGTTTTATGCTTCCAGCTGGTGTTTGGTGTACTTGGATATGTGAGTTGAATCCCTTCCTCCCTAAACTGCCTATACCCCTTCCCTGGTCCCACGTAAGGAGGAAAGAGAAGGCATTCTCTTTCCCTGACATAACCTTGCATACGCAGCTCCTCTAAATGACCAGAAGAAGTAGGTTATTTATTCTGCTATCCTTGGAGGTAATTAGAATGCTTTCAAGTTTATCCTTCAGAGATGCACATTCTAAAGACAGAGCTGTCTTTAAGTCAAGAAAACATATAGCTTAGATTTGTCATTCAGGGGAACTGATTATTTTGAAATATTTTCCAATATGGTGTCACAGGGGACAGATTATGTAGAAAGATTTATCAAGTCTAGTACTAGTTTATTATAATGTTTTTATATGATTTTTAATTAAAGCTTGGAGGAAACTACATTGGGGAAATACTTGCTAGTGTCCTTGTTGGTGCCCAGGGGCCTGCACCACAGGCTGCAGCAAAACTTAAGCCTGAGCTCCTGGACTATCTCTCAGGCCCTATTAATATTTTTAAAATTAACATTGCTATTGAGTTAAAGACTCAGCAACTATATTTAATAGACCAGAAAACAGTGAATTTAGCCATTAGCATTTTAGCTGTGGTAAAATATATCTATTACTATTAAGATAATGGTGATATTACAAAAATAAAACCTCTAGATGAATTTAGAAGTTACAAAATTGTCTTCACACAATTCTTCATCTAGAAATTCTATCAATTAGCAAATTAGCAAAATTTTAAAATAAGAAAAGCTTTTAAGGCACATTTCTTATTCTTAAGTGATTAGTTTGTAATTGTGCACAGAAAAGGTGACATGTCGATAGGGAATTAAAAATAAATAATTTCAGGTATCAGCCAAGTGCATGTTATGGGTATAATAGGCACATAATCAAATTGGAAGAAATGAGAAAAACCACCATTACTCAATAGGGAATTTATGTTTCATTTATCCACATGTTTAAATGATTCCATTTCCACAGGCTATACTCTAAGAATATTTCTCCTTTGACATTTCTTCCAAAACTTAAAGAGCTGCATTTAGAATAATTATGTCTACAATATTGTAGCACTGTAGCATTATCCTCCCGTTGTTCATGGATTTGCTCGAGCGGACACCAGTAATATCTCAAAACAAATTGCGAGACTTGTTGATACTGTTTTTGGCATATTGAATACCTCATGGAGAGCTCGCCAGGCTTTGTCTTGCAGGCGAGATACTCTCGATATTCTCCATACTCTGGGTAGCATGCAGGACTCTCTGAGAGGGACTGAGGAATGGAACCCAGGTCATTGCCTGCAAGGCAAACGCCCTAACTGCTGTGCTATTGTAAGGGAAATTATTTCAATTTCTTATTTTGTCATTGAGTCTAAGTAGCATATTGGTGCCAAAGGTTAATTCTTTATTATTCCTTATCTCAAACTCTCTTTGTCATCTTATTTTTATTCTTTTACCCTATACCAATGCATCATTGTGACTATTTTATCTTAAATGTTACAGAACTTTATTAAAGTAAATGAGGATTGCAATGATAGAAAAACTAATATAAAGAAAATTAAAGATTTTAAAAACTATTTGATTTTATTTTCCTTGCAACTACATAATATTCCATCGTACATACTTAAAACAAATAGATGACATTCATTATCCAATCATTTGTTGTTGGTAACTAGTCTGATTTCATACTTAGTCTAGTATGCTGAGTGTTGCAGTAATATATGCTGCACATATGTCCTATTGAATGAATGCTTGTGTATCCTGGGGGTTAGCTACTAAGAAGTGGAATTTCTGACTAGACATATATGGCATACATATAGTTATGCATGTATAAACTACAGGATCAGGGGCTGGAGCGATAGCACAGTGGGTAGGACGTTTGCCTTGCACGCGGCCAACCTGAGTTCGATTCCCAGCATCCCATATGGTCCCCTGTGCACCGCCAGGAGTAATTCCTGAGTGCATAAGCCAGGAGTAACCCCTGTGCAAAGCTGGATGTGACCCAAAAAGCAAAAAAAAAAAATACAGGATCAACTATACCCCTGTGAGATATAAGGTACAATAACCAAACTAAGAAATGTGCCTGCCAAGGAGGAAGACAGGTGTTGGGAGAGAAGCTGCGGACATTGTTGGAAGCAAGTTGGTGGAATTGGTATTGGAAAATTAACCTCTACTATGAATAACTTGTATCACTTGCCATCCTGTTGATCTGTGATTTGCTGGAGTTGGCACCAGTAACGTCTCCATCTGTCCCTGTCACATGCTAGTGCAGCCCAATGTTATCGGCTCGCTCCAGGAACACAAATAAATAACCATGTCAATCAAAATGACTGAATATTTAATAATTTATTTTAAACTTGTTCATTGAAAATGCTTGGAAATCTTATTTTCTAAAATTACTATTTTACATCTAGTATACAAAAATTATATAAATTTGATTACACAAGTATAATCATTGAAGAGCAATCCAGTTTGATATTTTATGGTTTGATTATTAAATGGAATAAAACTTCTTCTTTTGGAAGAAATGTGGGGATGCCGATACAGTACTGAATAAGGCATTTTTCTAGCATAAATATAATCCTAGTTTGATCACCAGAATCATCAGAATTGATTCTTGAGCACAGAGCCAAGATTAAACCTAGAATCCCACCATATGTGATAAAGAAAGGAAGGAAGGAAGGAAGGAAGGAAGGAAGGAAGGAAGGAAGGAAGGAAGGGAGGAAAGTAGGGAGGGAAGTAGGGAGGAAATGAGAAAGGGAGGGAGAAGGGAATGAAGAAAAGGGGAGGGAGAGAAGAAGAAGAAGAAAGGAGGGAATAAAAAAGGGGAAGAAGGGAGAGAGGAAAACTGTTTTGCTTTGAGAAGTAACACCAGAAATGATAAAGCCATTAGAATGTGTAGGCAATAATGTTTCTGAACATTAACTGTTTTAAAAAGAATAAATGCTAGTGTCTAACTTATTCATTTCAATCCGAAGTTCTCCCAAGCAGGGATCGGGGGACCCACGAGCCAGTCCAAGCAATACTTAGGCAAGCTGCTAATGATTGAATGTGAGTGCCTGAGAATGCAGTGCTGCATGGTGCATGTCCACAATGGACATCCTGGAAGTGCTGAGAACCCCCAGGACTATACCCAGTGTGACTCTGGAAGTCCTCTGTGCTCAAGGAACTATGTACTTAACAGTGCTCAATGCTCAGGAATCATGTGATACTGGGGTTGAATCGGGTTGAGCATATGCCAGAAAAGTACCTATGTACTGTCTCTGAAGCTTCTAGTTTATTCAGTTTAGATGTGAAAAGTTCAGGAACTTAGAATATAGATGAAAAGGGTTTTGTTTGTTTGTTTTAAGCACAGTTATTCGGGGGAAATAATGAATCTAACTGTTGAAAGTTTTATTAGAAATGCTTCAGAAATTGCTAAGATGTAAATGTAAATCTTTAAATGTAAATCTTAAAATAGAAATTTTAAGAAAAAATTAACTCTAAACTATTACCATAAAAATCAAGAAACTTTAACTTATCTGCATTTTTTGTTTCATTTCACCTAAAAATATAGTTGTGTATTTTTAAAATTAATGAGTAGTATTTGATTAGTGACAACCATTTATAATAAATGTTTTAAGCATATCTCAAAATAGACATTTTTATCCAAATAAAAAGTTTCTTAACTGAAAGAGAATTTTTCTTTTAATTTAATTAAAGATTAGCTGTAGGGAAAGAAATAATGAAGCATAAAACTTCAAGTCTCAACATGAAACTTTCAAGATAAATTCAAATGGTGAATAAAAATATGTTAATGGTGTAGGAAAGCAGTTCATGCTAACATTTTAAAATGTAATTTAATTAGTGCACAATATCAAACAAACAAAAAAAAAACTCTAAGAAAAAGCTAAAGCAACTCTCCTACAGAAAGAATATTTGCAGTTTTTCTGTGTGCAAACAGTGCACTAGATAGGAAATGAACACAATACATTTTTTTCATGTGCTATAAAACAAAAATATTACTAATCATTTAAAAAGATCTGCAGTTATTTCTTCAAAATTTACTTGCACTGCATTTGGTATTAAAGGGGAGTGGAAAGACCATTTGCAGAAAGAGGAGGAGTTGGACAGTCCCAAGGTGGAGCTGTCTCTTGTGTTAAATGACACTGGCAGATTAAAACGCTCTGATGGGGAAAGGCTTTAAGGCTGAGTCAAAAGCCAAGAAGTCTCTTTATTTACGCCTACCTCCCAGCCCTTGGCAATCTGACTAATAACAAACTGAGCTAACAAGAAAGACTAGAAAGGGAGGAAAGAGAACATTGCTGCAGCTAGATCTCCAATCTAAGAAAGCAAAAGTGATCAGTCCCAGCTCTGTTCAACATCTTGTTTATTTTCTGCACTCAGCAGCTTGCAAATGGTTAACTATATGCAAAAAGAGTCGGCATAGCTGAGAAGTATGCCGTGAATTCTAATTGGGAGAAAACAGGACAACTGCTTCAGGATGATCTAGTGTGCGTTTGACTTGAAATATTCTCAATGAAATCCTCAGCATTTTCTCTTTCACCAGAGGTTCCAACTTTATGAAGCAGTGGGACTTGCCAAAAAGTGATATTTGAGAAGAAACTGTGAGTGGTTATTTTCTTTCCTGAACTGAATTTACTTTGAACATCTCTTCCAGCTGTGCATTACAGATATCGTCAGGAAGACTTCTTTACAGGTAAGATGAATGTTTTCAGACTATTCTAATACCTTTTTTAAAGCATTCTCCTAAAGCGATTGAATGTATGTGCTTGCTTCTTAAAAAGAACTTTGCTTTAATAGCTTCTCCGTTTCCCTCTTGTTCATTGGCACAGCTAATGCTGTGGCAGATGTCTGTTCCCTCAGCGAAGTAGATATTAAGCCCAACAGCTGGCTGTAGAGAAAACAAATAGAATAATATGCCACTATTTCTTTACAGCATGCAGTTTAGTTACTGCAAAAACTAAGAAAGTGTACTTTGTGGAGAAACCTATCTTCCAATGCATCACTGAATTTAAATTAGAAAAAGACTATGGAAAAGCATCTTTGTGTGTTTTGTATCCGGCTTGTTATTTAATGACTTGAAGAATATCTTTTGCCTGAAGATATTACCTCTTTAATATTCTACCTTATATTAGCTATATAGAACATTGAAAGTGTATGCATATTTTTGAAAAGCAAAGCTAAGTCTATATGTAATGAGCATAACATACATATAATGTTTGAACTATAGTGAAATATTCTCATCTGGAAGTTATTTACTCTTTTTGCAGTATTTTGAGTGTGGTGAAATAAATACACTTTCTTGGTAATCTATGGAGAAAGTCTTTCAATATTTCTGAAGGCTGATCACAAGTCAGGATTCCAACTGCAGGCTGCTTGATTCTAAGCTGAACTCTCAGAGCTGTTTGAAATTATACTATTTCCCCCTGGAAACATTAAGTCTGGTAACTTTTCCTTTCTAGAGAAAGGCTCTCTCTATTCAAATATTTTTTCCTTTGGTTGCTTTTGCTTTTTTAGAAACTTCATGCCATACATAATTTCAATAAATCTTTGTGCTTCCTTGTAATGAAAGTTTTTTTTAAGATTTTTTTGGTTGGATTGTAGGATGTTTGATTGAGAATTTTAATTAAAAGTTGCTGTATGCATTCTACCTAGAAAAAAATGAAGGTAGTTTACCTTTTTTTTTTGAAAATTTTAGTAATCAGCTGCAGAATTTAGTTCTAAGTGTAGTCTACATAAATTTAATATACAGTATTTAAAGAATTGAATAAAATTAGATGGTGTTACAATTATGTATATTCCCCTTGTCATTACTGTCATTTAAGTGTCAGAATCTTTTAAAAATTGCTGTTTCAGATATATGTCATACATGCTTAAAGTGTTAGAATATGTACTTGTTATTCTCAATTCTCCTCAAAGATTTTAATATAGTACAGTACGTCTCAGAGTTCATTGCTTGTGACATTAAGCTTTATAAGAAAGGAGATCAGCTACTTAATTATATGATGACATTCAGTGCCCTTAAGCTGATTTTAAGATTTCATTAGGAAGTGTTTCATGAGAAATTTATATGAGGAGTTGTTTGTTTTTTAGAATAGCTGGAAAGTGTCTTTTTGCTCTAGTTTGTATAAAATTGAGCATATCAATATCAGAATTAAATTGCAACAGGAAATATCCTACTTCTAGAAACTGGTGTAAAGGTTGGCTCAAGTAAACACAAATGGGCACTCTTAGGCATGCATACCTGATTCTACTAAGCTTATACAATGTAGTTTTGATATGTATTTTTACATGTTTGATTTTATTGCATTATCAGAGACATGTTCTTGAATAAATAATGAATTTAAATAAAACTTTGGACCCAAAATGGTAAAATGGAGATAGTTAATATTGTGATATACATGTAGAATATAGAAAAACATTTTTATGCATAACACATAAACCCATGTACAAATCTAAAGTTTTTGACTTCTAAAAGAGAATTTTTGGTCTCAAAAATATGAAGCCAACACCTATGAATTTATCTTATATTGCCATCTTTGTCCTGAAATTAGTTTACTTGTAGTTTCAAGTAATCATGGTCTTTACAAATATGTACTTATAAATAAAATATAATTTTGGAATATATGAACATACCTAATTGCATAATGTTTTTAATCTACAATTTAAATGCATATTTTGGTTATAATGCCAGTTTAAATTATATCAAACATACCTGACATTGTGTTAAAAAAAAGGAAAATAAAATGTAAATGCAGCAAGGTATTCATATTTTCATTACATCAACATCTTTCTTTTTTTAAAGGAAAACTCTAATTTGTCTAATTTAAAAATGTTTTGTTCATATTCCCCCTGACTGCACCAAAAAAAACCACTGTTATTGCATTGTGTTTTACAGTATCAGCATCTGTCACATGACAACATGAAGCTGTGGATCCAAATGTTCTATTCATCTCTCCTCACTTATGTATCTTCACAATCTGAATCTCCAGTGTTCTCAGCCAGAGGATCTTGTGATTCTCTTTGCAACTGTGAGGAGAAAGATGGCACAATGCTGATAAATTGTGAAGATAAAGGCATCACGGAGTTACCTCAAATAAGTGTGCCACCATCACGACCTTTTCACCTAAGTTTACTAAATAATGGCTTGACAATGCTTCATGCGAATGACTTTTCTGGGCTGACCAATGCTCTCTCAATACACCTTGGATTTAACAATATTGCAGACATTGAGACTGGTGCATTTAATGGCCTTGGCCTTCTTAAGCAACTGCACATCAATCACAATTCTTTAGAAATTCTCAAAGAGGATACATTTCATGGACTGGAAAACCTGGAATTCCTACAGGCAGATAATAATTTTATTACTGTGATTGAACCAAGTGCCTTCAGCAAGCTCAATAGACTGAAAGTGTTAATTTTAAATGACAATGCTATTGAGAGCCTCCCTCAAAACATATTTAGGTTTGTTCCTTTAACACATCTAGATCTTCGTGGAAATCAGTTGCAAACATTGCCTTATGTTGGTTTTTTAGAACACATTGGTCGAATACTGGATCTCCAGTTAGAAGACAATAAGTGGGCCTGCAACTGTGACTTAGTAGAGCTGAAAACGTGGTTGGAGAACATGCCTCCACAATCTGTGATTGGTGATGTTGTATGCAACAGTCCTCCATCTTTCAAAGGAAGCATTCTAAGTCGACTAAAACAGGAATCCATTTGTCCCACTCCACCAGTGTATGAAGACCATGAGGATCCTTCAGGATCACTGCACCTGGTGGCTACATCTTCCACAAATGATAGTCGCATGTCAACCAAGACCACATCTCTTTTGAAACTACCCACTAAAGCACCAGGTTTGATTCCATATATTACCAAGGCGTCCACTCATCTCCCAGCACCGTATTGTCCTGTTCCTTGCAACTGTAAAGTGCTATCTCCATCAGGACTTCTAATACATTGTCAAGAGCGCAATATTGAAAGCATATCTGATCTAAAACCTCCTCCACAACATCCAAGAAAGCTTATTTTAGCTGGGAATATTATTCACACAGTAGTGAAGTCGGATCTGGCAGAATACTTTACTTTGGAAATGCTCCACTTGGGAAATAATCGTATTGAGGTTCTTGAAGAAGGATCGTTTATGAACCTAACAAGATTACAGAAGCTCTATCTAAACGGGAACCATTTGTCCAAATTAAACAGAGACATGTTCCTTGGTCTCCATGACCTTGAGTACTTATATCTTGAATACAATGCTGTCAAAGAGATATTGCCTGGAACTTTTGACCCAATGCCTAAACTGAAAGTCCTCTATTTAAATAACAACTTACTGCAAGTTTTACCACCACATATTTTTTCAGGAATTCCCTTAATGAGGATAAATCTTAAAAACAACCAACTTAACCATCTACCTGTCAGTAATATCTTGGATGACCTTGATTTACTTACTCAGATTGACCTTGAGGACAACCCTTGGGACTGTTCTTGTGATCTGGTTGGATTGCAGCAATGGATACAAAAATTAAGTAAGAACACAGTGGCTGATGATGTCCTGTGCACTTCTCCAGAGCACCTCGCCAAAAAGGAATTAAAATCACTAAATAGTGAACTTCTTTGTCCGGGTTTGGTCAATAATCCATCGTTGTCAACTCATACTAATTATGTAATTGTCAGTACTCCTACAACCCCCACTACAGCTGAGAGTATTTTTAGATCACTCACCGATGCTGTACCATTATCTGTTTTGATATTAGGACTGTTGATTGTGTTCATAACTATAGTATTTTGTGCTGCAGGGATAGTGGTTCTTGTTATCCACCGCAGGCGAAGATACAGAAAGAAACAAACTGATGAGCAAATCAGAGACAACAGTCCTGTGCATCTCCAATATAGCATGTATGGACATAAAACAACTCACCACACCACTGAAAGGCCCACTGCATCACTCTATGAGCAACATATGGTGAGCCCTTTGGTCCATGTGTACAGAAGTCCTTCCTTTGGACCAAAACATTTAGAAGATGAAGATGAGAGACATGAAAAAGAGGGTATTGACACAAAACATCTTCAAAGAAGTCTTTTAGAACGGGAAAATCAATCACCGCTCACTGGGTCAAAGTTGAAGTACAAAACCACGGACCAATCAACTGAATTTTTATCTTTCCAGGATGCCAGTTCCTTATATAGGAATATTTTAGAAAAAGAAAGAGAACTGCAGCAGTTGGGAATCACAGAATACCTTCGGAAAAACATTGCTCAGCTCCAACCAGATGTGGAGGTACAATATCCTGGAGCCCACGAAGAGTTAAAATTAATGGAGACGCTAATGTACACGAGGCCAAGGAAGGTATTAGTGGAACAAACTAAAAATGAGTATTTTGAGCTCAAAGCTAATTTACACGCTGAGCCTGACTACCTGGAGGTCCTGGAGCAGCAAACATAAACAAAGTTTAGGGCAGTGGCAGAAATGCTGTGATTCTGTCTTAAGTCCAAACCTTGTAAATAAGTGCCTTATGTGTGTGTCATCTGTCCGAAGTTGAGTACAGCAGTAATCCGATGGGAAAAGAAAATGATGAGGAAGCTCAGGGATCACTGGGAGAAGCCATTACATTGTTTCCAGGCATTTTTGTTTGGTTTCCAATTAGAGAAATCCTTACATGACAAGCATTTAATGATCATAGTATTATATTAAACATATAAAAGGGTTCAATATCTAAGTGGTTTTTATTTTCTTGAACTTTTGTCATGGATTATAAATAATTGGATCTTTTTTATTTTAAAATGATATTTGTACATGTCGTTTTACTATGTAAGGATACTATTGTTTATATAGCCAGTATATGGACTACAAAAATGTCCATTGTTGAACACATATACATTTCTGCAATAAAGACAAAAAGAACTGGAACTTTAAAGTTGGAAATAATAATAGAAGCAAAAGTAGAAGGTTGAACAATGTAGGCTTTAAGTAGCCCAAAACTTCGATCATTTGAGAATTTAAGATGTTATCATGCTTTGTGAAATGAATAATAAGGATTACTTATTCAAAGGATATAAGTAAGCAAATTTATTTTCTGCACAGTTTGGGCAGACAATCTCGTTGTCAATGCTGCTGTAAACTAAGGTATTTGATTTGTGCTCAGAGTTTCTTATTCTTGGGTTATTTTAAAAATGCTACTGATATTCAACTGTAAATATGATTAGTGCACCTATTAAGTTTGGTTTCCTTCATAGCATTAATCCTTTGTAAATTTAAAGTCCCTGATAGATAAATGTTCTTGTGGCAAATAATAATTCACAGGTGTAAAACAAGTAAGAAAAAAGTTATTTTATTTTTATTGTTGTATACTGGTAGTTGTCATAAATTAGTAGCAAAGGCACATCTAAGGGTAAGTGGTTTGTTTCCGTAAGAATAGAGCAATGTAGCTTTATTTTACCAGAAAGTCTAGCTAGATTTTTATGAACTATTTATTCTGTACAGTTTTATATATTTTTGTTTCACAAAGGTAATTATTCTTGGGTGCCTTTTAAAATACTTAAAAATAATGCTCACTACAATAAAACTATAAAGAAAATCCTCGTTTAAAATGTCATTTCTTTGATTAGCCGGATCTATAATTCAAACAAGACTAACACAAACATAAAATGCAGACAAATGCAAAACAAGATTTCTCTGTTGTTTTTGTCACAAAAGGTCATTCATTGTGTGGGATTTGGTTGTCTGGATGGAGTCAGGCTTGAAGTCTAATTGGTTATGCCTTTTCTAACAAATCATTTCCTCAATCACTACAAAGGAAACAATTCATTTTTATTTATTCTAACCATGGAATTAATCAGATAGCATGTTTCTACAATACACTTAGAATTCATTAAATTAAACTAACGATCCATACCCGAGTTATGAAGGACCGTATTTCCTGTTAGGAAGGACTTTCTTTAAGTTCATTAATATAAAAGTAATGTTTAATGGCAGCAATTCCTGAATGTTCCATCAAGTGTTTTGTTTCTCAAAATTCAATTGTATCACTTATTAGCAAAACATACATCATTTCTTTGATTTTGAATATGCAGTTTTTCTGTTCATAAAATCAGTACATCCAGGTGGCATGATGTAAAGACTAATTACAAGTCTATTATGTAATCATATTGCCAGGTTTTCACTTAAACATTAGCAGAAAAACAAACCAAATTCTGTTCGAAAAAGTTCCTTGAGAACAGAAATTTTTCCACAAAGGTTTGTTTTGTTTGTTGTGTTTGGTAGGTCAGAACTGACTCCGGCTTCTGTGCTCAGGGATCACTCCCTGTGCTCGGGATAAGGTATGATGTACCAAGATCAAACTAGGTCGGCCACATGCAAAGCAAGTGACCTACACACTATACTGCTGCTCTGATGTCTCTCCATAAGTTTTTTAACTTGAAAATCCTGGAGTGGGAATTTTTTTTCTAAAGTAACACATATTCATGATGTCAGAGATATAGTACAGTGGGCTAGCGCTTGCCTTTCATTCAGTCTTCCTTGGTTTAGTTGCAGGTATCCTATATGGTTTCTCGAGCAAAGCCAGAGGAAACTCCTGAGTGCAAAGTCAGGAGCAACTCCTGATAATTGTCAGGTGTGAATCAAAAAAATAAATAAAATAAAAATAAATAAAATTTTTAAAATGACTTGTTCCGGGATAATCTGTGCCCATCTGTGTTATTTTATATGTTCGTACTCAAAAAAATGATTCAACACAATTAACAATAAACCTATCAAAGCCTGGTGTTTGAAGTTATATGCTAAAAAGAACAAAGCAAGAACCTAGCTCATGTTACTGCACTTCTGTTTAGTAGAGTCTGCCAATGCTTTCTGATTCCAACCATGTGCCTAGAGAAATTGTACAGACTAAAGAAATTCCCATGCCTGGAGGACCATTGGAGTGAATCCATAAATGCAGACAGAGACATGTCCTCAAGAACATTCTTCTCTTATGAGTGGAGGAAATACTTTTTAATCTTTATTCATTTTTAATTGGCTAAAGTAGTAATGTTCATCCACCTTATAGTAAAGATTGAACAAAGTTGTTTGTGAAATACTGAAAGTATACATTCCAAATTAAAAACAACCCCAAGACTTTATAAAACACTGAAAGTTTGAATAAAGTTTACATGACACAAAAATCATTACTCTTTGCAAAATGTGAAAAAATAATTACAAGCTAAATCATTTCATTCATGACGAAATATTTCTAGTGTGAGTTTTGTTTTATTAAAAATAGTTGAACATTAAAAATGCTAATAATAGTTTTGATCCCTTAATGAGTCATATGAAATGTGATAGAATGAAGATTTGGGGTTATTTATCTTATTTCCTATATCTATACTAAAAAATAATACTTATGCATATACATTTGCATAGGAATCTCAAGACTATGCCAGAAAAATCAAACTTGTCCATGTACTTCTGGAAATTTTAACATAAATATCTATAAACTTTAATTTTTCTTGATTTGAACAGAAGTGGCACATAAGTGTATGAATCTGAAGTTTTGTAACAGCGTGAAATAAAAATATTCTTTGGATGTTCCAGTTATTATCAAACGGGGATTAAACATTTACAATCTACTTAAGAATGGACTGTATTGAGAACATGGGTGCTTCCTCTTCAATTAATCTTGTATCAGAAGGAGGGAAATCTTTTCTTTGCTATTCTAATTTTAAGTAAATTGAAGCACCATATAAGAAGCTTTTAAGCTTCCCTGATGTTTTGGTCTAATTAATTTGAAAAGCTTAAACTTTGATCTGGGATTGAAAACTGTGCTTTGAGTATCCACTTGTCATCAAAGTGCAATTTAAAAAAATCATGGTGTATAACTATTTTTATATCTATTGAGTTAATATTAGTTCTTCAAAAGCAGCCAATTTTTTAAAAGATAAATGATTTATAGAATGATAACAGATACTAAATTTTCTTGCATCATATTTTGTACTATATATTCTTTCAAAATGAATCATTAAAAAAGAATGGAGTTCTCTGTAATTGGAAAATAGTAAATATTTTATAATAAATCTGAAGATTTACTCAATAATTTATTGATAGAAATATGAATGGCCATAGTTTTTATTTTATTTTTTTTTAAACTGAGATATCACAAAAGATCACGTTTTCATGATACATAAAATGACATGTACAATCATTCTTTTGGAGGGGGACCCTGAGCAACCATATAACTTTAAAGAGAAATGAGCAAGCGATTAAAAGTGTATTTTTTTTTTGTGCTTTTTCAATTCCATACAACATGAAGCAAATATTTTTTCAAATAATCGCTGAGGTTTATAACCACAAGACTGTCTCAACTAAAAAAAAACAGGATTCAATAGTTGTTAATCATTGAATTATAAGAAGAAAATGATAGGATCTAAAATTGTATTGTTTAACAAATTTCTTTTATGGACATTGGCTCCATTATCTTTTGTACAGAATACAACAACTTTTAAATGAATTTGTTGTTACTATCTAAAGATCTATTATTATGTATATGTAACTGAAGGAGGTGACCAGGTGTAGAATTCCCTTCCAGCTGCTTTGAAAACATAATCAAAAAGACAAATACTCTTCTGTTAGTGTCTTGCAGCAGATCAGTGAATGAAGAATGGAAACAATTCAAAACAACAAATGTACACACATACAAACACACAAACCTTCATCTGTTTCCAATTAAACTTACTTAAAGCTGTAAGACTTTTAATTAAAATATTTTTGTTTTCGAGTTTTAAAATTTGAAATGCAAGAGACCTAATTATAAACATATAACTATATGCATCTTACATCTCAGGTTCTACTTAGGAAGTACACTGATTATCTATAAATGAATAAATTATTTTGAATCGCTTGACTACTAAAATCATTGGGTGTTTGATTGTGCCCCTATATTAGATATAAAGGTATTGAATAGATGTTAACCATCACCCCTCCAACACACACTTAAAAAAACAATGAAATTGTTAAAATTTAAGTTCATGGTATTAAATAGTAAAATGACCCATTTGTGATTGTATTTTTAGTGTCTCTCCATCCCGATATTGTGAGCAATTCATAAACATATTAAATCTTCAAACAAATTTTGTGATTCATGCTGTAAAAGGTGATATATAAATATATAAATACATGGTTCAAAGTGAAAATTAACAATGAACTTCAGGGATTCCTAATTCTAGAACACTAAGATTAGTTTTATGTGTTGCATATAATTGTATCAAAACTTTCACAGGCACTTCTTTCACCAATACCTAGAATTTGAGGTACTTTGACTTAGAAAAGATAAAAGCTAACTGGAAGCGATAGCACAGTGGGTAGGGCGTTCGCCTTACAAGCGGCCAACATGGCCGACCCGAGTTCGATTCCTCCGCCCCTCTCGGAGAGCCCGGCAAGCTACCGAGAGTATTCAATATGCCAGACACAGTAACAACAAAGTCTCCAATGGAGATGTTACTGGGCCCGCTCGAGCAAATCGACGATCAACGGGAGGGCCTTTACTACTTTACTACTAAACATTTCAGGTATTATAACACCCAAAATTTCTAATATTAACTCACTGCTTTTTTTCTTTTTAACATAAAATGGTATTGATCCCAC